TTTATGGGATTCGTTGCTTTTTATTAAATGTACTTTTTGGAGTACATTTATATATATATATATATATATATATATATATATATATATATATATATATATATATATATATATATATATATATATATATATATATATATATATATATATATATCCTATGCTTGATATATATGTCTATGCAAGCATAGACATATATATGTCTATGCTTGCCTTAAGCATAGACACAGTGTTCTCCCATATTAACAGGGACATGATGAAAAAAAAAAACGTAAAAATGACCCCTCACTTGCTCTAGTGCTCTTGGGAGGTGGTGGTCTTTGGAGTGTTAAATACTCCGAAATTACCATCTCTTTTAAGGGTCTGAGCGGGTGGTGGAGTGGGTTAAGGCGTACCTGTTATGCCAGTTGCTGGAAGGCTTCTGTGCTGGCTAGGGTTCGAGTCTCCTGGTGGGAAAGTGTTTCTAAAGTTGTATATATATATATATATATATATATATATATATATATATATATATATATATATATATATATATATATATATATATATATATATATAGAGAGAGAGAGAGAGAGAGAGAGAAAGAGAGAGAGAGAGAGAGGGTTACCAGGCATTGCCCGGGTCGCTCTCCTGATTTCCCCTTCTCTCACAATCTTTCCATTCTCTTCTTTCTTTGTCTATCTCCCGTCTCTTCCCGTCTCCTCCCTCTTCTTCACTGTCCAAATTTCTCTCCCAAGATCCCCCTTCCCCTTTTATACTTCTCTTCTCTTCCCCTCCCTACAAAAATCCCCACAAATCCCTCTCTCTCACACATCTCCCTCTCACTCTTACCCCCTCTCTTAACCTGTCTTCCCCCCCTCTCTTAACCTGTCTTCCCCCCTCTCTTAACCTGTCTTCCCCCCCTCTCTTAACCTGTCTTCCCCCCTCTCTTAACCTGTCTTCCCCCCTCTCTTAACCTGTCTTCCCCCCCTCTCTTAACCTGTCTTCCCCCCTCTCTTAACCTGTCTTCCCCCCTCTCTTAACCTGTCTTCCCCCCTCTCTTAACCTGTCTTCCCCCCTCTCTTAACCTGTCTTCCCCCCTCTCTTAACCTGTCTTCCCCCCCTCTCTTAACCTGTCTTCCCCCCTCTCTTAACCTGTCTTCCCCCCTCTCTTAACCTGTCTTCCCCCCCTCTCTTAACCTGTCTTCCCCCCCTCTCTTAACCTGTCTTCCCCCTCTCTCCTTCCTTCTTTTGAAACATTCTCCTCTCTTCCCCTTCTCATTTCCTCTCTTCAAGCATTCTTCTATCTTTCCTTCTTCTTCCTTTTATCTCCACTTCTTCTCTCTCTCTGTCTCGGAAAATGTAATATTGCACTGAATTCACATTCATCAGAATCTAGGGACTCGACAAGTCCCCTTTCAACGGTTTCAGGGACCCCCCCCACCCCGCCCCCCGTGCTAAATGGTGAACATCCCCTGAATAATGAAGCCCCCTCCTAGAAAAGAGGAGTAAGGGGGGGGGGGGTCACTATTTAACACGACCCACTAGTAATAGCAATAATAGGATCGACTTCGACTAGCCTATGTCCGTCCCATACCCCAGACCCGTCACCCTGCTAAGTTGGGAAAGGCTAACCTCAGGCTTCTGGCCTCCAACTATGGACATACATTTTCTCTCATAGATATGGATATACATGAATGATATACACATCAAATACATGAATGATTGTGTATATCATTCATGTATAGATATACATGAATGATATACAAAAAAAAAACGTTTTTAATGTTTAAAAAAACATGTTTTTAATGTTTAAAAAAACATGTTTTTAATGTTTAAAAAAACATGTTTTTATTAAAAAAAACATGTTTTTAATGTTTAAAAAAAACATGTTTTTAATGTTTAAAAAAACATGTTTTTAATGTTTAAAAAAACATGTTTTTAATGTTTAAAAAAACATGTTTTTAATGTTTAAAAAACATGTTTTTAATGTTTAAAAAAACATGTTTTTAATGTTTAAAAAAACATGTTTTTTTAAACATTAAACATGTTTTTAATGTTTAAAAAAAACATGTTTTTAATGTTTAAAAAAACATGTTTTTAATGTTTAAAAAAACATGTTTTTAATGTTTAAAAACATGTTTTTAATGTTTAAAAAAAACATGTTTTTAATGTTTAAAAAAACATGTTTTTAATGTTTAAAAAAACATGTTTTTAATGTTTAAAAAAACATGTTTTTAATGTTTAAAAAAACATATTTTTAATGGAGTCGCAGAAGGCTGAGGAACATCTAAGGTTCGGAATTATGGGACCCAGGTTCGAATCTCCTAAAATCAGTATTGTTATCTGTAGACTGATTCTTCAAATCACCTCACGGCTTCACTCCTCTCCCCTACCCCCCCCCCCCACCCCCACACTTGTGCTGGACAGTAGAGCGACTATCTCGCTTCATGCAGGTCGGCGTTCAATCCCCGACCGTCCACCAAGTGGTTGGGGCACCATTCCTTTCCCCCGTCCCATCCCAAATCCTTATCCTGATCCCTTCCCAGTGCTATATAGTCGTAATGGCTTAGCGCTTTCCCCCCTAATCATTCCATCCCCTCCTCCTTCCCTCAATCTCCCTCCCACCACTCCACGATGACGTCACCGTTGCCAAGACACATATGTATCACAAAAGACACAGCACGTATCCAGGAAATTATATACACAATGACGCAGGAAAGACAAAAGAAATGACATTAACAAAACGGAATTGAATTCTTTCCCGTAGTTCAAATATTAATATTTCTTTTCCTTTTTCAGGTGAGGGAGATAAAGTTTGACGCAGGACAACGAGATATATGCCTCTTCTGTAGGCCTATCGGACTTATGGTACTTTAAACCAGTACTTATAGGTACTTTCTCAGCCTGTTAACGCGTCATCATTTGAAGCCAATTCCTGTTTCCGAATTAAATGTTATTTTGTCGAGTTATGGCGGAAACGATAAGGTTTGAGGCGGCAAATGACCTGGTAACAATGAGCTTGCCATTCCGACCAATCAGCAACGGCCCTGACAAACTCTTAAGCCAATCAACAACGCCCTGACAAACTCTTAAGCCAATCAGCAACGGCCCTGACAAACTCTAAGCCAATCAGCAACGCCCTGACAAACTCTAAGCCAATCAGCAACGCGCCTGACAAACTCCAAGCCAATCAACAACGCCCCTGACAAACTCTAAACCAATCAACAACGCCCTGACAAACTCTAAACCAATCAACAACGCCCTGACAAACTCTAAGCCAATCAACAACGCCCTGACAAACTCTAAAGCCAATCAGCAACGTCTTGACAAACTCTTAAGCCAATCAACAACGCCCCTGACAAACTCTTAAGCCAATCAACAACGCCCCTGACAAACTCTTAAGCCAATCAACAACGCCCCTGACAAACTCTTAAGCCAATCAACAACGCCCCTGACAAACTCTAAGCCAATCAACAACGCCCCTGACAAACTCTTAAGCCAATCAACAACGCCCCTGACAAACTCTAAGCCAATCAACAACGCCCCTGGCAAACTCCAAGCCAATCAACAACGCCCCTGGCAAACTCCAAGCCAATCAACAACGCCCCTGGCAAACTCCAAGCCAATCAACAACGCCCCTGACAAACTCTTAAGCCAATCAACAACGCCCCTGACAGACTCTAAGCCAATCAGCCACCGGGGTTTGACAAACAGAACTCTAGTCTACGGAAAGATCGCATGCTGTCCGCCGGCTTCCTTCTCTCTCTCAGCCCCATACGGTCCACGACTCTCCTAAGAGGTGGTTCTAAGTGTATTTAGATGGTTCTAAATGGTTCTAAGTCCTAATTAGGACCTCCTTAACCACCTCTTCTTGCTGTCGTGGAAGACATTAAACACAGCAACTTGTGATAACCTTTTTGGAATGTATATATATATATATATATATATATATATATATATATATATATATATATATATATATATATATATATATATATATAAACCCCTGTAGAGCTAATTTAGTCGTAAGTTTAAGGTAAGCTCTTTTTATGCTTGTGACATTGTGAATATATATATATATATATATATATATATATATATATATATATATATATATATATATATATATATATATTACAGAGAATTAATTACTGTTAGAACTTTGTTGTTCTTTAAGTTAGTTTGGTTTACTTTAATAATTCTGCAGATTAGAAATCACATATATATAACCGAGACGTTTGTAGGCATTTATATATATATATATATATATATATATATATATATATATATATATATATATATATATATATATATATATATATATATATATATATATATATATATATATATATATATATTGGATTGTTATGAGTACATAGCTTTTACAAGTACTCATTATCTCTTATCATTGTATATACCTGTAAGTGCACACCTGAGCCGCAGGCAGGTGTGTAACCTGACGTTTATGCTACACGAGACTAGATAAACAAATGACTTTTTATTCTTATGTCAGGTTTATATATATATATATATATATGTGGCTGGAAGAGATGTGTATATGTATGGAGTCGTATGTGTTTAGATTTTATTAATGTGACTACGATCATATGTGTATCTTTAGTTCACATATGACTTCAATTCCCAGCCTGAAACACATCTGAAATTGGATCACATGTGACTAGGTAATAGTTGCTTGTTGATCAAATATGACTGCAAGTCACATATGCTTGTGACAAAACAGGGCAATACTGTGGTTACATACCACGTATTTTACACACCTGACTGATGCACACATAACTGATTCACACATCACTGATTCACACATAACTGATTCACACCTGACTGATACACACATGACTGAATCACACGATTTTCAAGTCACAAGACCTCCTTGGAACAAACCTGACTTTACACTACACATGTGCCCCCTGGAATACACTTGACTGTAAATCACGTGTTCAATATAACTGACTTTATATCATATGTTTTCCTGAATAAATAACTGACTTTGCATAACATGCGTTTATAAAACACCTGCCTGTGGGTCACATGTTGAACTGGAACACCTGAATGTGTAAGACATGTGTTCATGGGAGACACAGACACACACACACACACCTGAATTTGGAACACATGTGCCAAAAAAATATAAATAAAAACTATGTTACTTTACAATGTGTTTTTATATTTACCTGTTTTAAAGCAGAAATAACAAAAAACAAACAAACAAACGCAAGCCAAAGATAATAATAAAGCTATCAGGAGAATAATTAAAAGTGAAATGAATTCTGTTTTTCGTGTAGTGGTTCGCTAATTCTGTCTCTCTGTCTGTATATATTTCTGTCTGTCTGTCTGTCTCACATTCTCTGGACTGTCTTATGTAACCATCATGATACTCTGTGGGATTCGAACCCATTCCTGTCAGTTGCCCTGTGTGGTAAACCCGTCCTCATCAACTAAATTCAAGTGCTCATTAATCCAACCGGCAAATCCCTGTTTATGAATTCAAAACGGTTTACACACGATTCACAACTGATGACGTCCGAACATTTTTTCGAACAGTGCTTGGCTGTCTGACGACTTCTGTTCGAACCACAACGCTGTCAAATGCTTTACCCAAGTATTCAAATACAAATAAATCGCAAAGAGCAACTATAAAAACACCCAACCTAACCTCACACAGAACTCTAATATATAAAAATATTAATTTATATATAAGAACTAAATTTTTTAACATTTTTAATGAGCGTAGATCTAATTTTTCCTAGGTCTAACATTACACAAAATTGTAATGGACCATTTTACTAATTTACCTTCGAGAAAAAATTATGATAACAAATTATATTAAAATGCTGGACTCTGCCTATGACATGTGTCGCTGTGACTATCGCTGTGGCTTCAGTAGAAGCCTCCAGACTCGCTGTGGCTTCAGTAGAAGCCTCCAGACTCGCTGTGGCTTCAGTGGAAGCCTCCAGACTCGCTGTGGCTTCAGTGGAAGCTTCCAGACTCGCTGTGGCTTCAGTAGAAGCCTCCAGACTCGCTGTGGCTTCAGTGGAAGCCTCCAGACTCGCTGTGGCTTCAGTGGAAGCCTCCAGACTCGCTGTGGCTTCAGTGGAAGCTTCCAGACTCGCTGTGGCTTCAGTAGAAGCCTCCAGACTCGCTGTGGCCTCAGTGGAAGCCTCCAGACTCCCTGTGGCTTCAATAGAAGCCTCCAGACTCGCTGTGGCTCCAGTGGAAGTCTCCAGACTCACTGTGGCCTCAGTGGAAGCCTCCAGACTCCCTGTGGCTTCAGTGGAAGCCTCCAGACTCGCTGTGGCTTCAGTAGAAGCCTCCAGACTCGCTGTGGCCTCAGTGGAAGCCTCCAGACTCCCTGTGGCTTCAGTAGAAGCCTCCAGACTCGCTGTGGCTCCAGTGGAAGCCTCCAGACTCACTGTGGCCTCAGTGGAAGCCTCCAGACTCCCTGTGGCTTCAGTGGAAGCCTCCAGACTCACTGTGGCCTCCGTGGAAGCCTCCAGACTCCCTGTGGCTTCAGTGGAAGCCTCCAGACTCCCTGTGGCTTCAGTAGAAGCCTCCAGACTCCCTGTGGCTTCAGTGGAAGCCTCCAGACTCACTGTGGCCTCAGTGGAAGCCTCCAGACTCCCTGTGGCTTCAGTGGAAGCCTCCAGACTCCCTGTGGCTTCAGTAGAAGCCTCCAGACTCGCTGTGGCTTCAGTGGAAGCCTCCAGACTCCCTGTGGCTTCAGTGGAAGCCTCCAGACTCCCTGTGGCCTCAGTGGAAGCCTCCAGACTCCCTGTGGCTTCAGTGGAAGCCTCCAGACTCCCTGTGGTTTCAGTGGAAGCCTCCAGAATCCCTGTGACTTCAGTGGAAGCCTCCAGACTCCCTGTGGCTTCAGTGGAAGCCTCCAGACTCCCTGTGGCTTCAGTGGAAGCCTCCAAAGTCCCTGTGGCTTCAGTGGAATCCCCGGTTGAATAACTTATATATCACGTCGTGGTGCAGGGGTACGTCCACTACGGGCTCACCATAGCCCGTGCTACTTGGAACTTTTTTTCCCAGGTAGGGAATCTTTAACAACAACAACGAGAGAGAGAGAGAGAGAGGCTGGCACCTCCTCGTGGCACTCCCCTATTGGCCCTCTTAAGTGCCACAATTGGCCCTCTCATTACGCTAATTTTCTTGAATCAACACAAATGTGACTCATACAGTCGGCCCCGGACTCTGATTCCTCCACTCCACTCTCCCTGAGAGCTGAAGCAAGTATTAGCGTCTAGGATATGTTGGTTTTCAACGTTGATTGATTGTTGTGTGAAGAGGGTAGGTAGGGTGGTAAGGTATACCTTCTAGGGTAGACTAGGCAAGGTAGGGTGGTAGGGTTTACCTTCTAGGGTAGACTAGGTAAGGTAGGGTGGTAGGGTATATCTTCTAGGGTAGACTAGGCAAGGTAGGGTGGTAAGGTAGACCTTCTAGGGTAGATTAGGCAAGGTAGGGTGGTAGGGTATACCTTCTAGGGTAGATTAGGCAAGGTAGGGTGGTAGGGTATACCTTCTAGGGTAGATTAGGCAAGGCAGGGTGGTAGGGTAGACCTTCAAGGGTAGACTAGGTAAGGTAGGGTGGTAGGGTATACCTTCTAGGGTAGACTAGGTAAGGTAGGGTGGTAGGGTTTACCTTCTAGTGTAGACTAGGTAAGGTAGGGTGGTAGTGTTTACCTTCTAGGGTAGACTAGGCAAGGTAAGGTTGTAGGGTATACCTTCTAGGGTAGACTAGGGAAGGTAGGGTGGTAGTGTATACCTTCTAGGTAGACTAGGCAAGGTAGGGTGGTAAGGTAGACCTTCTATGGTAAACTAGGCAAGGTAGGGTGGTAGGGTATACCTTCTAGGGTAGACTATGCAAATTAGGGTATACCTTCTAGGGTAGACTAGGCAAGGTAGGGTGGTAGGGTTTACCTTCTAGGGTAGACTAGGCAAGGTAGGGTGCTAGGGTACCTTCTAGGGTAGACTAGGCAAGGTAGGGTGCTAGGGTATACCTTCTAGGGTAGACTAGGCAAGGTAGGGTGCTAGGGTATACCTTCTATGGTAAACTAGGCAAGGTAGGGTGGTAGGGTTTATCTTCTATGGTAAACTAGGCAAGGTAGGGTGGTAGGGTATACCTTCTATGGTAAACTAGGCAAGGTAGAGTGCTAGGGTATACCTACAATAATATGTGGAGTGATCTAGTGGACATAATTATGAAAATAAATAAACAAATTTCTTTAACCTTATATGCAAAAATATATACCTATAAGAAAGCATGTTTGATTATTTTTCTGTCCTATATTGAAGGGGCTAGCCAGATGCATAGGGCTAGCCTCACCCAAATTGACAAGAGGGAATGGTCTGTGGTATGGGATGAACATAGACTAGTCGGAGTTGCCATAATTCCAAAGAGAACTGCGTGTCATGGTCACATTCAGACCCCCACGACCATTTTCGCCCCATTATTCAACGGCCCATGAAAATGAACAGAAATTCCCATATATTAA